AAAAAAACATCCTTATACCATAGGTAACCATTCGGCCACAGAGGCTTTCGGGACGCACCACACGATATCTGATGCGGCAGAAGCTGGCTTTATATCTCCTGGGCGCTGTGGATCGTAGCATGGACCTTGGAGCTAAAATTTGAACCTTCCACACATGCAATTTCGTTCCCCTTTTCTTGCGTTCTCTGACCGAAATATGCTGCTTTCTACCCAGTTGTCACTTCTTGTCTTCTTGAACTTCCTGCTATGTTGCCTTCTACGCTTCACTCTGCATTCAGTGTGATGTTTGGACACCGCATATGAACAGTTTCCTATGGGCTCATGAGATCTGGCATCACCTTGTCTCTTCTCGAGCAACGACCGCCATGGGAACAAACGTAAGGCCCATGTTGCGCTTTAATAATCCACCTCGCATATTTGTTAGTGATTTCTTTTAGGAATCCATTTGGTTATGCGGAGCTCCATACTACGACATGACCCCAAGTCGTACTCTCCCTGACACAGATTTATTCGGCTCTTAACAGACTTTCTACACAATTTTGATTTCTGCTATTTCACTTCTTTGAAGGCTGTAAAGGCACTCGATTGAGGCTGTCACGCTGGTGACCCCCTTCCCGACGCATTAGAGTACGCTCGTTCAAGTGGTCAGGTGCTCTAGTGCTGGTCTTGCCACTTGCCATACCTTTGACACCGCCTAATCATGCCTCCTCCTTCCTTGACCCGCCCTCCCCTTTGGCTGCTTCTCTACACTCACTGCTCCTGCCGTTAATTCCTTTCCGGCAACTTATTTGCTAACGTCTCCATTAGTCCCATTCCATCCGCGCACCTTCTCATTCCAGCACCCTTATGGCTCTTCACTCTTCACATTTTCGGTCTACCTTCTCGCTGCCGCCTTCCATTTCTGCCAACTCCCGGGGTCCTTCCCCAATCTTCTTCTCCGCCGTCTCCTACATCTTGCCGGTTCCCTGGGTTTCCGTTAATATATCATACTCACTTGGCCTAGCTGGCAAGCTTGACTTGGTGAGATCGCCGACAGGTGACGTCAAAAGGCCCCAAGTTCGAATCTGCATCCCTTTTTGCGTATGAGCTAATTCTCGCGCTGGAATCAAAGGGCAGTATGCTTTTGTTTTGCTTAAGTCCCGCTGTGGGCGAGATGTGGAAAGTCGAACGCCTATAATCAATCGAGGCACCGTAGGCCTGTCGAACATACTCTGTTTTATAACGCTCGGCACTACTGACTCAGTACGGGGATAATGATGGGCTATTTCATTCAATTGGTATGAATAGCGAGGGGCCCAAAAGATATTGTCTTGTAGGTGAGATCAGTGACTTGGAGTCGAAGCTCCTAGACTACATGCACAAGACCGATTCAAGTATCTTGAACACCAAAATGTTTGACTTTTGGTCTAACCTCTTCACCTGTGATCTTGTGTTCCAAACCTTGCACGCGAGCATATATCATTACCTCTTCTCAGTCTCTTCCACGTGCGCCACCTCCCCGACATGTGCAGCCTCCGCTTGCTTCAATGCGCCCTCTGCCGTGCCAGTTCCAGCCTCCGCGTCCTCTCCATCAAACAGGTAGGCGACGTTCTCAAGCGTACGTCCACGAGTCTCGGGGTACCCAAACCAGACGCTCACAAGCATGATAACCAGCACGGCAAGGAAAACGAGGTAGTATTTCCAAGCGATAGACTCCAGCGCGATAGGGTTGACGAAGGTGTTAAAGAAGACACAGGCCAAGCTGACCATCAACGCCACCGTGAGACCCTTGGCGCGGAGGCGGTACGGCCATATCTCGACCGGGTAGGCGACCATTAGGGGCGTCAAGGCGATGTCGTAGCCGAGGTAGAAGATGAAGAGAAAGGGGATGACGGCCGTGCCGGTGGGTGCGTTGCCCGTCATTGCGAAGCTGCCGGAGAGGCCGGTCACGATGGAGAAGGAGATGAGCATGATCGTGCCCTGGATAGTATGATGGTTAGCAACAATTATTAGAGGTTAAATGTTTAGGAACTCACTGATGCCAGGAAGAGAGCTCGTCTTCCGATCTTATCCACCATGATAGCAGCGCTGGTGGCGCAGATCAGGTTCCAGATTTGGATGCAAGCCGAGATAAGAGTTTGGTCATCGACGGACTTGATGCCTGCGGATGAAAGGACGAGGGCCAAATAGTACGAGATGACGCCGACACCGCACCTTTATCGCCAATTAGTTACTAGACGTAATGGAAGGAATGGAAAGCCGACATACCATTGCGCAAAGACTCCCAAACTAACAGAGATAAACAGACGGTGTCTGTTTCCAGGCGTGCTGTAAAGATCGGCCCACGTCGTGGCGGTGTGCGCCTCCCTCTCCGCGCGAATCGTTTCCTCGATTTCCATCATCTCGAAGTTAACCAAAGGAGAGTTGATGTCACCGCCAGCGTGTGCGTTGGCAATGACCACCCTAGCTTCGTCGATACGGTCTACGGAGACGAGCCATCGAGGCGATTCGCCGATCAGAAACAGGCCCGGAGCCGACAGGAGTGGGAGCGCGATCTGCAGGAGGGATGGCATTCTCCAAGACCACTCGGTGAGATGCCTCGTGGCGAAGGTACACCAAGCCGCGACGACAGCTCCAGCATACCACATACCTTCACAGAGTCAGTATAACTTTTGTCGAAAGGATATGAGCAGTGGATCTTACAGTTGTAGAGTGAGGATACAACTCCGCGATGAGTGGGATACGCGTTCTCAGTGATTAGCAGCGGCGCCGAGAGGAAGAACCCAGAAGCACAGCCAATTATAAACCTGGCGGCGACGAAAGCGCCCTCATTCGGTGCCGCCGTCTGCACCGCTGTACCAATTGCCAGAAACACCCATGAGATATAGATTCCGACCTTGCGGCCATATTTATTGCACACCCACGCGGCGGCCGGGTATACGAGGACGTTACCGAGGGAGTATGCCGCGTTGACGAATCCCAGCCACGGGCCGGTGGGCTGGTTCATGAAGGTGTGCCATTGCGGGAGCGCGAGCAGGCCGTTCATCATGGAACCGTCGTAGCCGTTGGCCGAAGCGCACATCATGATGGAGATGATGCACAGGTTGAGGCGCAGGATGTGCGGCTGCTTATACCACGGATCGATGTCCGGGAGGACGGCGGCCAGCTCAGCGCCGACGGCCTTTGCGTTTGCCGAATTCTTTCGGCCCATGTTGGAAGTCTGGGGAGGTCGGGAGAAGAGGCGAGGTAGTTGTCGAGAGAACTGCGGCTCTGGGCCCGGGCAGAATTTTGAGAACTCGAGAGGACGAAGCTATGGCTATCAAAGCATTTCGACGTGCCATGCCGCCCCGTTGTATCATCTTGGCGTGGACCGAGATGCCCCTAGCCTCTGACTTACAGGGAGATGGATGCATTCGCTAGAACATCGGACAATTCATCTCGTTCATGGGGTATTGAGGAGGATACCCCGCATAGCTCCCTGTTCATGCAACTGCGAAGGTGGGCCAATGACGCGGTTGATCAGGCCGCGAACGCGCGAGACGAGGCCTCTTTCGCTTTTCACAGGTATTGTTCCATGGCCTCGAAGTGGATTCGTGGGGGATTCAAACCGGGTTGGGCCACTGCGCCGCTGGGGAAACGCGGAGACCGATGTTCTCCATTGAGTCGGGCCTTTGAATGCGGAGAGTTGCAGCCAATGCCAAGTCAGAACAGCGGTTGGCCCTTCCTTTTCAAACCATGTGGCTGGCTTTGTTGACTCGTTCCTACAGGGAGTCGGCGTGACTGTGTCAAGATTGTGTTAGACTCGAAGTCCTCAATCAGGAAATGGAATAATCAGTTCGCATGAACTAATTCACCTACCTCAGAGACAACATAGGACGTGACGATCACTTCTAAAGTAGTGTAGCTTCCAGAATGCCATCAACCTCATAGTTTCTTGCTTGATTTAGCGGCGGCGGGTGTATCCGCCGGAAGAGTCCAGAGCATGGCGGGGCAACACAACGGGTCTTCTTTGCCCATGACGGGATGCCAATGAAGTTGAAATGTCGTTGGTACACTCACCTTACAACTCTATCACGACTATATAGACAAGACAGCACCTAAACGTTATCCCGATGCCATTTTCTCTCTGGTTCATGGATCATTCACACTCGGTAGGCAACCAACCCCAAAATCCAAGTCTCACGCAATACTGCTTACCCCGGTCACCTAACTCCCCGCATCTTCGGTCTCAAAGTCCTTGTTCCCCACACGATCCCCCCGGATCAAGCCAGGAACGCGGTCGCAATTGGCTGCCTCTCGTTGATCTCCAATTTCTGCAACCACTGAGGCGACATGGCCAAGGAATGCTCCGGTGTTGACATCGGCAGATGCGTCCTCCATCTCAGCTCACTCGCGGCCAGGCACTTCCTTGCCAAACAAGCGTCTTGTTCCCGTCCAAGTAGCCGCGGCCGATACTCCACGTCTTGCCGACGCCGACACTCCACAGCCGATACTCCCCGTGAGGTAACTCAATAGACATCGGCCCATCAGTTTATTCTCTCACCTGATGAAATTATCTCTACCACCAAGACACCTTACCCAGACAAAACTTTCGTGCGGAACACAGTCTAGACCATTTCCCCACGGGCAACTGCCTAGTCCAGATGAACCTGCGGAGTCCATTCCCCGTGGGGAAGTTTAACAGTTCAAGTCCAGCCTCATACGATTGAACCCATGCAATTGCAGCCGCTGATCATGCCTGAACTACGCGGTACAAACGGCGCGTCTCTCGGGCTTGGTCTGGAAATGAAAAAGGTTCACCGTCGCCAAGAAATGCCATCGACACTCGTCTGCCGCTGAAGACCTCGGCTAGCGGGCGAAAGAACACTCGCGGAAACCGCGCAAGCCGCGCGCCCCAGTCGCTTCCGAGGTGCACAAAGTGAACATTTCTCGAAACAACAAGGATGTTGATTAGGTTGTAGGTGTTAACAATCTGGAAACATTTTCCGCATAAAGTAACCCTGTGCGGCCGAGCGAGCCCATCATCTGAGACCAAAGATGGCATCACCATCCATCCAGCTTCTGGTTCCCCGAACTTCTGTCTCCCCGCGCTTGAACAGCTTCAACACGCCTGTATTATCGGATGCAGCAGCTACATTCAACGCAGTCTTGCGTTCACCGTCCTCCAACAGGGGGTCCAGCCCTTCATCAAGAAGCTTCTTGAACCTCACTTCGTGTCCCTTGGCCGCGATGTGGAGCAATCCCTGACCATCGTTTCGCTGGACCGAGAAATCCGCACCAGCGGCCTTTAGAACAGCAAGTTCGCCTGCATCATCGTAGGTCTTTATATCTCTGTGTATTTTATAGAAATGCTTCTCGTCTGGCGTGAACCCGCCAAAGTAACCAAACAACGGCGTCTCGCCTTGAAGATTGCGTGCATTGACGTCGCAGCCGTGCTTGATGAGCGTCTTGAAGAGGGGCCGTAGGGTGGAAATCCATAGCATTCGACACAGGATATGCAGGACGGTGTTTCCATCGTTGTCGGTGATCAGAGGGCCTGCGCCAGCGTCAAGCAGCAGGTCGGCGTATGTCGTCTTCTTTTCGTAGAGGGCGCGTTCGACGGCAAGGTGAAGTGGTGTTTTGCCGTTCTTGTCTCTGTGGTTGACGGTTGACGGATGAGATTGTGCAATGTACGAAAGCGATTTCACCATAGACGGGACGCTCCTATCTCTGACTTGTCGGAATTGGAGCATGTGATGCAATGCGTTACTACCATCCATGTCTCGCGCCTCGGGATCGGCCCCGAGTTCGATGAGGCGTTCGAATACCGTGATCCCTGTGGGTTTGTCTTCTTTCCATTCTTCTTCAGCTTCCGGGCCAAACGGCATGTCTGGACCTCTCTTGGAGGAACACGCAGCTAGGAGAAGGGTTCGATTCTTCCCATCTCGATGATTGGGATCGATGCCTTCTGATGATAAGCATTGATACGTAGCATGGCTGTCGGCCAGCAGCTCGTGTAATACCAGACATCTTTCGTGGCTTCCCGGTGCATCGCTTGGGTTCTCCGCTGTTTCGGTTTTGGAGATATTGAATGGTCTTCGGCGGGCAAGCCTTTGGTGATCGCAGTCTGCTGTTGTGCATCTGGTGAACTCTGCAAAGGGGTCAGCGCCGCAGGACAGAAGAACTCGGATAACCTGGGAAATGGCTGGCCATTCTTCCCTCGGCGCTGGTTTCCCTCGCTTCCCTTTGGGATACATCTTTGTTGCCGCATGATGGAGCGGATACCACTCATAGTTTGGGATGTCATCGTCGTTCCAACGACGCACAGTGAGTCCTCTGGGATCAATTTTGAAAGTACCCGTAGGACTCCGTTCCAGCCTCATGTTTGGGTCAACGCCTGACGACAGTAGCGCCCCAAGCACTTTATCATCTTGTCTGTCAATTGCCGCAAAGAGAACGTCGGCTTTAACAATAGCCCCATGCTCGATCAAAAGACGAATCATCTCGGCGTCAGAACCGGCATATGTGAGACATGTGCGCCCCATCGTGTCAACGGCATTCGTGTCCGCGCCCCCGAGAATGAGCAGGCGAGCTGCGTCGCGGTGAAATGGCCCGGTTCTTATGTTTCCTCCACATTCAAGGGCAATTTGAAGCGGCGTTTGCCCCTGGGCGTTCCTCAGCTCAAGGCTCGCGCTACGTCCGATGAGATATGGTAGAGCTTGCGCCACATGCCACCAATGATTCCCCCTAGCAAGCATATGCAGAGCACCTTGCATGATCTGCAACTCATCGTTACCAAACTTCATGGTGCTCCAGCTCATTTCGTTGATATCGGCGCCGAAGTCTTCAACTAAAAGACAGAGAACGTCGAAAACTGGAAGCTCCATGTGGATGGCTTCCAGAATGAACGGCCTGGAACTCTTTTCTGACTCCTGCTTCCTCATCCAGGAAGTATCGATTTTGGTTCTTGGGGTTTCTGTGTTCCTCCCTCCACAATAGATGCCCTCTTCTTGTCTTCTTTTGGCTTCCAGCTGAATGATACGATTCACCAAATATGTGAAGCCGCCACGTATTAGTTCTTCGAGGCCGGTGAGTTTTAGACGCTGATTTTCAGTGAAGAAATCGACACCACAGTGGAAGAGTTCTTCCACAAGATAGTACTGGCGCCGCTTTAATATCGACCAAAGAAGTTTCCGGTTCGGCCTCCCCTTCTTGATACTGTCGTAGTTCCGCAACGCCGTTATGGTGGTCTCATCGCGATACTTGACGAGGTACTCATCGAATGGTGTTTCTTCGTGGCCGATTCGGTGACGAGAGGGGCCGAGTTGACGCTTCTGCGATGCTACAGTCCAACATCTGAGAGTGTAATCTCCACATCCCAAGGAGGTAGTCGAAACCCCTGCGAGCTTCTCATTCCAACGGCGTCCTACCCAAGGCCATGAGAGATCTGCACCCCTATCAAGGAGCATGTCGATAATCTCATCGAGTCTGGCTGTGTCTTTTGACAGATGATTGTTGCCGATATATTGGGGACGGGACAAGTCTGAGAGTTTGAGACCAGTTGCGTCTCCATTTCCTGGCTCAGGGGCACGTCTATGAGGAGCATCCCACAGCGTATGTTCCGCTTCGAATAGGTCGCAAGCCTCGCGAAGACCGGAGGCCTTGACATTGGCGCCTGCCTTGAGTAGCATAGCAACAACTTCGGGACGGCCTGATGTACAAGCGTAATGAAGGGGTGTTTGGCCCTTCTTGTCTTCATGATTGACGCCGGTGATAGGCAGGGGGCAATCATCTGCTAGCCAAGCGCCTCGACGCGCATCTTCAAATCCAGCTAGCTGGTAGAGAGAGTCTAACAACAGTCCGACAATGTTGCTTTGCCTGCTTCTAACGGCGAGGTGGAGTGGGGTCAAGTCCTCATTGGTGGCAACATTCGGGTTAGCACCTGCGTCGAGCAGCTTCTTGGTATGGTATTCTGAAGCGGTGACGGCAAAGTGCAGCGGAGTAATGCCGTCTTCATCAGCAGCGTCGACTGTTCCCGCCCGTGAGATGAGCTCCAAGGGGTACGCCGCGTCCGGTTCGCTTGACCCTCGACGAGCCTTGCACGACAGGTTGTGAAGTGGCGTTCTTCCTTTCTTGTTCGACTGCTGAGGGTCAAGTCCCAGGTCCAGGAGCTGCTTCTAGACAGGAATGACGCTGGTGAAGTTATCGAAGTTTGAAGGATGCCAGCTGAGTTCGTGGAGCAAGCTATTCCCATCGTTGTCGACAACATGCAGATCGAGCCCCAGGCTGATCAAGAAGTCCAGTCGGGGATATTCCTGGTAATCTAAAAGTCTCTTTGAGATCCCAGGATGGCTTCTCACAGCTTCGTGCAACAAACTGCGACCTTTGGCATCGCAAGTGTTGAGCGTGGCACCCCGTTCTATCATTGCCTTCATGTCTCTGTGAGGGTCTTTGCGATCGGAAGTACGGGACTTGGCCATTCTGAAAAGTGCGGTACAGCCATTTTTGTCTTTGGCGTTGATGTCAGCTCCGGCACTGAGTAACATGTCCCATATCTCTTTCGGATAGTCGCATGAAAACCTCATGACGTCCATGGGTGTCATGTCAGACTTGTTTCTGAGATTGACGTCGGCACCTAACTCGATCAGTTTCTTGAGGATTCTTGCGTCTGGGTTAGACTTTCCGAGGGCGACGTGCAATACCCCATTACCCTCGCTGTCCACGACCTTACAGTCCGGGCCATACTCTAAAAACTTGAGAGCCACGAATGTAGCGTTGCGATCGAGGAGGAAGAAGAGCGGCGTCTTTCCATTTGAAGGTACTGCCGCATTCAAATTCGCGTGGCCATTCTCAATCAGTTGAGATACGCTGTCTGTATTTCCCGGATTGTGAAGGGGTGTGTGGCCCTGGTTGTCGGCGATATTTGGGTCAACGGATCTTTCTAGCAGTAAACTCGTCCACACAGGATTGTGTTTCGCCGCATGCAGCAGCGTTGATCCATCTGAAACCCGCTGGTGGATATTCTCACCACACTCGATGAATGCTTCAAGAACCTCTCTAGCCGCTAAAGAGTCACTTGTCAGAGGTGTCCTATGAGTTCGAGTCGGGCCTTCGCAGGCAATGTACAGGGCAGAAAGATCCCGTCTTCTCCGTGGGTCGGATGTGTTTTCGGATTCCTCAATATCGAACTCGGAATTGCTGTCGGAGTCGTATTTTGGCGCATTACAGCCTCCGAACTCTTCGTCTCGTTGACATTGGATCGTAACGTCTGCGCCACTCTTAAGGAGTAGCAGAGCCGTCTGTGCACTGCCACTTTTACAAGCTCGAAACAGAGGCGTTCCACCTCTGATTTTGCGGTTGATGTCAACGCCAGGCTCCGCCAAGATTCTGTTGACAATCTTATCCTGGCCTCTTTCAGCTGCCCAAGCCAACGCTCGATGAAGGGCCTTCATGTCATGTAAGAAGGGCAAAAACTCCTCCACTGCTTCCAAATGCCCCTGATGGCAGGCGTACTATTGAAAGAAGTCAGTTTTCACACGGCAAACCTTTCTTCAGCGGTGCATAAGCACAGCCAAGCTGGACTGACCATGAGCGGAGTGTGTCCTCTCGTTCTTGATGCGTTACCACACCAGTTGCCGGAATTCTCTTTCGTCTTCGGGGTCAATGGGTTGACGCCTGCTTCGAGTAAAACCTTGACAACCCCTGCATGGTTCATTAAAGCAGCTCGATGGAGAGGCTTGAGTCCCTCATGCTCATCTTGGTCTGGGTTCGCGCCTGCGTCAATCAACGTTTTAACGATGTCCTTCGTCCCACACTCAGCTGCCCAGAAAAGTGGCGATCTGCCGTTGACATCTACAGGGTCAACGGCGGCACCCGGTACGGTCAGCTGATGCCTCACCCAGTCAGATAAGCCATATCTGGCCGCGATATGCAAAGGGGTTACGCCGCCAATCCCTTCATCCCAGCGAATTTCGAGCCATGTGTTCAACCAATGAGGGTTCTCGACAAACATGTCTAGTGCCTGGTTCATCTCCTTCTGCGGATAACCTTCGCGGGTCGATTTGGCAAGATGGACGTGCCAGTTGCTTGCTGCATAAGCAACGAAGGGATACTTCAAGTTTACTTCAGCAGTGTCTAGTCTTTTGTAGCCGCGCCTGGGTTTGTTTGAAGAGCGATCTACCGACTCGTCTTTCTCGGGACTCATCTCATCGAGGCAACCGGCCTGTAGGTAATTCAAACATGCTAAACCAAGTCTGGCGTTCGTCTCTCCGGAGGTCAGAATATGGTATGCAGAATTGTGGTTCCTGTTGATGTCTGTGAGGTACTCTGTGAGTGTGTGGTGAATCACACAGACGGTCTCGTCGGGCAGTATTTTCAACAAAGAGCCACAAGCTGCTCTCACGATGTCTTTGCTGAGCTTGAGGTCTTGGTTGACGAGACTATGATGGGTGGCCTTGATGATATCGGCCATCTCCAGTAGGCCAAGCGGTCGGGTGGCGTGTGTAATCCATTGTAGAATGAAGAGCTGAACGTCTTTGGGAACGCCAGACCTCCGTGAGTGTTCACGGAGCAGATTGGAGTATATGGCCGACATATCCTGGAGCAAAGCCTTCATAACCTTCTTGGCATAGGCTCCTGGGTTGAGGAAGGCATCCATGGCGAGTTTGGCATATAAGAAGATGCCATGCGCTTGACCTGGGATAGCCTCCCTGATGACCTTTTGGTCCTCTAGAGATATGTCTGAAGACTACAAGCTCGTTCGAACATAGGTGGCAATGTCGACATCAACCAGATCAGACTGCAATTGAATCTGAGAATGGTTGGGACCTCTCATGAGTTGCTCCATCTCAGGCATGAATCTGCTGGTAACGAGCACTTTGACTCTGTGAGGCTTCCAAGTCCCGAGCTCACCCAGAGCGCGGATGAACGTCCAATGGTGCCTATCCATCTCGTCCAAAGCGTCAACGATGCAGAATGCTTTCCCATATAATCCGGAAAGTGCCATCCGAAGATCTTTCCAGAGGCCTTCCATCGACATGCTGTTGAGAGATCGCTTGTTTTCGACGTGTTCCTTGATCTGCTTCTGCAAAGGCGGGCTGTATAGCAGCAGTTGATCCAGCCAGTCTCTCAACAGCGCAACCGGTTCATGGTTGGCGTCAATGATCTTCCGAAAGAAGAAGTACAGCACCGGGGTTGCTGGTTGATTTTGGGACAGGTCTCGGACAACTTTGGACGCCAAGACTGACTTTCCAGAGCCTGGTATTCCCTTGATCCGTAAGAGTCCTTGCTCTTCACCTTTGAGTCAGTTATTGTATGTGCTGTTGGATGCGATCCATTCGCCGGTGCCTGGGGCGCGAGATGAGAGGTGCTTTCGATATTCGCCGCTTTCAAGGTCATATTTGGTCGGCTGTAGCCAGGCTCTTAGGTTCTCGATCACCTCGGGCGGCTCTGGCAGAATTTGATCGGGATTGTAGTCGCTAATGTCGTCTCGGTCAATCCTGACAGCGTCGCTGTCGCTGTGACTCGCAGACATAGTGGTCTTCAGGTCCAGACTCACTACGAGGTCAAACTGAAGATTAATGTTCAAGGTGCTTACAGTGCTGGCGTTGAAATATCGTGCAATTGGAACCAGATAACGATTAGTCACGTAACGAAAGAGAACCTTTTTGGAACGAGTAAATGGAAGTCGGAGAAAACACAGAAGATTATGACGTGGAGCAAGATTGGGTGACCAGAATTCAATCAATCAGTTGCCTCAGGTTTGGAAGTGGCTGCCTGTTGTGGGTGGCGAATCACTGCTCAGCGATGTGAATCCTTCCAATTCTTGGCATTCCTCAACGAATTCTTCCAGGGCTTCTGGCCAGAGAGGTCTCCAATTCAATATTAAGCCATAGATGTCAAAGAGTTAGAAATCCTACCATCACAGTAATTAAAATGAAGCCTAGAAGGCTAGAACCCGATCCCCCACGCAGAAGGCCCGCATTATGTTAGTCACGACCAGTGCTGCGCTTTATGGCAGCATAATTAGTTAGTCCATTCTTGAGGAATTAATTGAAACTCTCCCAATGTCTCCTAAGACGTAACCACCAAGCTCCCAGAGTTCGTATCCCACCGGTTCGTTCTGAAATGGGAGTGGGATTCCGATACCAGTCCTGAATAGCCCAGCTAAGCACCTCCACCGCCAGCCCGCCCTGCCGAGAGATAGAATGTGGCATCAGATCTTGCTGTTTGAAGTCTGGGATGACAGATCCTCAGCGCAAACTCAGAGATATTGCAAAGACGATCAGGTTCCATCCCACACCTAGTGTTTCTCAGCCCCTGCATCCACGTTGCTGGATCTACCCAAAACCTACTTCATGGCCTTGGCTTAACTTGAGACCCTGGGCCTTAGGATGGAAGCGTTTTCTCAGCCAAGAAGCTACGTGCCCCCGCTCCGCAATATCTCCGCAGCGAAACTCTATTTCGCGGCCCCTGCATCGTGAACTCCGTGTTTAGTGCGACGCGGACTACGTGCCAATTTTCTTTCTCAACATCACAAGGTACACCGCAATGGGCCGAAGATCAAAACAGACATCTTGCTTTCCATGTGTTGAGGCCAAGAGGCGTTGCGATCGGGCACTCCCCGCCTGTTCCCGATGTCTAGATCGGGACGTTGACTGCGCATACCCACCGGTCCGCCGGTCACGGCTCCGTCCGCCGCCAGACTCCTTCGATTCGGGGCCGCAGTCCGTTTCCAATTGGGACTTGGAATCAGCCTGGCCCGCAATACAGGATGACATGAACGACATTGCTCTGCAGGTGGAGGGTATCGACGCCCTAGCAGACACCTTCTTCGCTTCCGACCAGGCAGCTGATGTGCCGAGTACCCTATCCCTTGGGATCGACCACAACCTCGAGGCATCATCATCATCCTCAATCACAAACCCCAATCATTCAAACAGCGAAACGAGCCCCAGTCAGCTCAGCCCCACCGTGGAGCGTCTAAGCTGGTTCCTGAACTCCCCGTCCTGGGCCATCGCGTACCACTACCACCCACCGGGATCCATCCCTCCGGCCGCCGTGTTCACCAACTTCGTCCGCGGCCTGCAGGACTGGCTCGTCCGCTTCCTCCGCAAAGGCCACAACCCCTTCATCCACCGCAACCTCTACACCGAATCGAGCATGCCCCGCTGCCTCCAAGATGCGTACGCCGCCATCGCCATCGCGCAGAACGTCACGCCGGACAACGAACACGTGGTCGACGCCACCTCCGCAACGTACATCCTGGACCTGATCGCCAGCCACTCGGCGGCGGAGCCGGCGTTTTCCCTGCTCGCCACGAGAGAACACCTCGCTCGCACGCAGGCCCTCCTGATCCACCTCTTGCTGTCCCTTTTCTCTCCCTCCATATCCCGCCGCGCCAAGGCGGAGAGCCTGATCGACACGCTTCGCCTGTGGGCCCAACAGCTCTGGGAGTCTGCGGCGCTTGACGCGACCTCCTCGTCCGTTTGCTCGAATACCCTGTCGTTGCCTGAAGACGCTGGCGCCGACACGACGGACATGGTGCAGAATCTGTATCGGGCGTTTGTCCTGTCAGAGTCGATCCGCCGAACGTACCTGCTGACGAGCATCGCTACTGGCGTGTACGGCGCGCTCAAGGCAACGTGGTCCGAGACGTGCGGCGGGGACATATGCATCACCGCGCGTGCGGAGCTGTGGGACGCGCCTTCGTCCGCGCGGTGGGAGTCTAGCGCTCGCAAGGCGGACCCGTTGTTTTTACATAGTCTGCACGGGCAGAGTTTGGTTGAGCGCGGGATACCTGCTGCGGAGGTTGATGAGTTTGCGAGGCTACTTTTCACGGTGATGTGGGGGCTTGAGAAGGTCGAACGTTGGGTTGTGAGTACTGGCGATAGTGTGTCTGTCATGTATTGAGGATATACGACCCCCTGTCACAATGCACCTCAATTGTAAGATAAGGCACATAACATTGGTCTATCTCTATTTGGCGAATAAGGGGACTATTCTTTCATAAATTGAAATAAAGATTTTGCCATACATGCGGTTTCGTACACGGTACTTCGCTACTGACCTCACCACCGTTGTAGAGATGGCAAACCCTCATCAGCCAGCCTTCTGTTGATTTCCTCCGTAGCGGTGTTCCAAAGCCCCCTCACCTGCTCTTCATCTAATGCCACCGAAGCAGGAGCACCAATCTTTCCCACCGGCAACAAAAACTGCCCCTTGTACGCAGCCAAATTCTCCTTCACATCTCTCGAAACTGCCGCAAACACGGGGTTTGCGGCACCTTGCTCCGGAGAAAGAAACGTCAAGCGCGCAATGGTCCTGACCATGGCGTTGTTAATCGAGAACACGCCCTCTGTGGCGACCTCTCCTGGGTGCACCGCAACAGATATGATGGGCAAACCCTGCTTATCCAGCCTTCTCTGCAACTCTTGCGCAAAAATGAGGTTGGCCGCTTTGGAGACCGCGTAGCGAATCATGTCGAAGCCAAAGGCGAACTTGCCGAAGTAGCGCCACTGCCAGGGGTGCGACGGGACCGGGCTTCGGAGGCAGTCGGGCGAGGTGAAGGAGAACTTGAAGCCACTAGGTAGCATCGCGACTTGTGCGGTGGAGGTTAGAGTGACAATGCGGACGTCAGCGCCTTTCTCCGCGGCGGCACTTTGGAGTAATGGGAGAAGGCGGTTCGTGAGCGCAAAGGGGCCGATGAAACTGGCGTTGCTCGTCAGGAGAGGACATCTTGTATTTGACTCATGGAACTTACTTCACAGCCATGTGAGGCTCCCATCCCGCGCCAACTGGTTCGTTTGACCAGGTAGCTGCTGCTGCGTTGTGGACTTTCAAATTTTCAGCAGCTATGACGTCTTCTCCAAACATTGGTTATGGGAAAGTGACATACTCAAGATATCAATCTTTCGCTCCTGCGTCTGCAACCAATCGACCGCGGCCGTGATGCTACGCATATCCGTGAGGTCCATCTTGACCCATTGGAGATTTTGCGGCTCGATCTTGGGGGTTTTGTCTAGAACGAGCCTTCGTGTCTGCACACCTTTGGCCTCGGATCGCACCGCCAGATACACTTTGGCGCCATTCAGCGCAAGATATCTGGCTGTCTCGCGTCCAATGTCACTACTGTGGGAGGAATCGTGTAAGCTGAGGCTTGTTGAATGTGGGTGGGATGACGAACTTTGCGCCGGTGATGACAGCAATTTTCCCATGCAGTACAGGGATATTCTTGTCTGGATTCCATTCGGTCGTCATGTTTATGGTGGTAAAATAGACAAATAGAGATTTTCTATCGCCTTTTTGAAGTTTCCTTACTTAAGGCTGAATGGCGTGCTGGAGACTGGCATATGTATTTATCTACCCTGTAACTGTATTTACCTAACAATCAAATAACTTCTTCACACATATTAAAATACAATACTATGATAAGTGCGATTGCAGCAATCTTCGTCCTCCGAAAAGCATACTTAAGATATGCGGACATGGAGCGGAGGATCTGCGGACGTCCCGCGGAAGAAAGTGGAACTGGGGAGCCGGAGCTCACGGCCCCATTTCTGAGGCGTCAGTCATCGGAAAGCCATTCATCCCGGTTACTGTAGCACAAGACCCGACAGCTCGCACCTCAGAAGCAGTGAAACCACAGGTGCAGCCGTCGGGACTGTGATTTGGGACGATCGCCTGTCTCTCATTCGCAGGCGCTGGTTGGCTGCCTGAGCTTTGGGTTCTGCAATTGCGATTTTGGGCCCAAGCTCCTGCTGCGTCTGGGGTGGCACGTGCCTCCTGCCGGATGGGAAGCTCCGCCCAGCGCAGTGGACGAACTCACCTACGTCATGGGCTGGTCACCCTTCGAATTCCACCACGCAACACGCCTGTTCGTCGCGACTTCATGTCAACAACCTCCAAGCTCTCATCGACGAGATACACCGCACTCGACCCGGGCATGAATGAGTTGACGCGCATATCCAACACATCGTCCTACGGCTTCAATTTTAAGTGGCGCACGATGCTGTCCTGCTTCGGGTTCGGCAAGTCGCGCGAGGATCGCGAGCGAGAGCCTCTGCTGCCGCGCTACAATGACGACACGGCGCTCCAGCAGCGGCTGCACGAGAAGCTGCACACGTATCAGATGCTGAGAGCCCTCGGCAAGGGATACATGCCGTCCAACGAGCAGCTCATCGTCAACCTGCGCACCCTGCTGTCTTGCGACATCCTTAACCCCGACACGCCAGACCTCAGCGACTCTGGGCGCAAGCTCATCCTCAACGTCAAGCTCCTGATCAAGCAGCTGATTGAGCTCCTGCTGCACAAGAACGACCAGGACCAGATTCAAGATTTTATCTGGTACTTGACGAAAGCTCGCTTGTCCATCGACGCCTACGACATTGGTGCTCGAGCGTCAAAAGCCAGGGCCAGAGCCGATACAGTTGCTGGTGGGTCGATCCCTACTGACACCTTAACACCGTGGATGCCGTGTACTGGGAGGACCCCACGTTCCATCAAAGTCAAATAGATGAAAGCCTGACTGGACTT